GAGATAGAAACCTCAAAGAATTTGGGATAAAGCATTGATTTTGTTATTTTTTGTGGAAGGGGGATTGGGGAGGCCGAAGTGCTGGAATAGTCGGGCTTTTTATGCTGCCTGCAGATGAAATTGATTAAACCCTAAAAACTCGCCTCAGTCCACCCGGTTTATTAATTGAAGAATTTCCTCTTCCCCAGAATGGGAAGTGCACATTAAAACCGAGCTTTGCCCCTGAGTAGCAATGATACTTGAGAACGGTGCATTTTCTACAATCCTATTTTCTCTTCTGCACTGGAGGAAATCCTAACATGGTAAAAAGCGCACTTAAGAAAAAAGGCAAGGTATGTTTAAGGAAGTCCTCTTTCATTTCCTTGTAAAGCGTGAAATCAAATTATAGCCCATGGCCCACAATTACTTTATTTTTACATTTCAAACTCCATTTTCTGCTTCCTTTCGGTGCCTGTGAACAGGAGTTGCGCTGTTTGTGCAAAGTCAGCTAAAAAGATTACCTGAAGCAGGACAGGGCACAGTAGCTTAAAGAAGCCACGAGTCAAATCTGTGCCTGAGGTGGCACAAACCTCCCCTTGCCCACCCAGGGATGTGACCCACACCTCTGTTCTTCCTTTCACTAGCCCAGTTTTACTATTTGGAAGCCAGCTGGCTTTATGTTGATGGATTCTGGTTACTCTAATACCCAGCTAAAATAGTGCTTGCCAAAATAGTAGTACTTGTAAATGCTATAATGGCCTTGACCTACATTTACGTAACAGCATGTTGGAGTAGATGATCTCCAAAGGTCCCTTCCAGCCCTAATGGTTCTGTGATTCTTTGACAAGAAGCATGGGAGAGGGGCTTTGGACAAGGGCCTGTATGAACAGGGCAAAGGGAATAGCTTTATCCGGCCAGAGGGGAGATTGAGATGAGCTCTAGCACAAGATGCCCCTGCCTTTAGCAGGGGTTGGAACTGAATGAGCTTTAAGGTCCATTGCAACACAAACCAGTCTGATTCTCTACATTGCTTGAAGAGAAAACAGTTGAGATGTTGTCTGTTCATTGCAAAGGCTTTGCAGTTCACCTTTTCAGTAAGGGTGAGATTGTTAGTGCATGGACTTCGTAACTGAATGGCGCTGGAAGCGGGTACAGTGCACATAAAGTAGTAGTAAGCTTTTGGAACTGTTGAAGTAATCTGAGAGGCTGAAATGTTTTGGTTTTCTAGACCTAATAATACCCTCGTTAACTCAATGTAAATGTTGGCTTTGCTGTACAGCTCTAGCTGCACACAGCTCAGCCTGGATGCTTGGGGGTGCATATATATATGTAACTTGCAAGCATGCAACAGGTTGCACAAACAGGAGGTGTTTTAAGCTCTGGTACATGTAGAACTGCAATGACTTCTGTGATGGAGGTGGGAGGAGAGTTGTTATTTAAGACATAATGTTCTGTTACACAATAAACATGGCAGTTATGGTGCTTTACAGTTCTTAAACATGCAGCGTGCGAGTTGGTTTCTCACCTGGTGGTACCCTGTGAAACACTGGTGTAGCAGATGGGTTTTATTAATGGTATGCCTTTATGTAAGGTTGTGACGCAGTAGCACATGAACGTTGCAGAGTTTGTCTACTTAAGCTTGATTGGGCAAAATCAAGTGTGCTTTGCTTGTATGAGCTGTGTGATGCTGTACAGCAAGTTTCCAAGGAGTGAATTTGATGTAGGGGCTGAAGGTCTGCAGCCTTGGTGCCTGGAACTCTGGTTTGACTAAAGGTTTGAAGCTCTAATATGCTAAATAGCACTAATGCAGAGCATGCAGTGAATTTCTCCTAAAGACTATAAGTTCATCAGGGCACACCTTTTCAGTGCATGCTGTTCTTCTGGGTCATCTGTGGTTTCCAGTGTTTGCAGAGGAGCTGAGAAGCTCCATCAGGGGCACGAGAGCTGTGGATGATGTGGTCCATGTGGTATCGTTTTGCTCTTCTCTTTGAGAGATGGAGCTGATGGCCAGTTTAGGGAAACAGAGGTGTTGCCTTCTGTGCTTTTAGGACTTGTAATCAAGGATGTCTCTGCTTCAACTGGTCCCATGGGAAAAGAGTAGTCAGTTACTTCCCTAAAGGCTGGTCATAATTGGGTACTCCCCAAAATCCAGACCCAAGAGTGAGTTGGATGTGACTGTTCAAAGAGGGACTTGACTTTGTTTTCCATGTGAGGGTCCTTCTGTGCTGCTGCCCTAGGCTTCGCTGGTGCTTCTTGCGGTCTCTTCTTCGCGCTGCTGCTGTTGCGTTTCCCTGGACCTGGCTGGTATCCACATACTCTCTGCTCATGTGTTATCTGTCTGTTTTTCTTCACCGGGCTATCTACTTTACTTTGTGTTTTCACTGTGGTTTAGCTGCTTATCTTGCAATAGAATTCCCATCTTTCCCCACCCCTTTCTGTTTTCTGATGACAACGGGTTTGTTTAATTTGCCTTGGACAGGGCTGTATCTGAGCTGTGTGTCATCACATGAAGGCTGCTCTGATAGTTGATCTTTTCACTATTTTCTTTCCAAGTGAAGTGAGAAATCACAGCTCAGGAGCACTTTTTATCTTTTTGAATGAATTTGAAGGTCTCTTTTGTAGATGAAACAGTAAGGAAAAGGTGACACCCATGTGTTTTTCTGTAGGTTTTATAACAATGTCCCCATAGTTTATAATTGGTTTTCTATGGCCTGCTTCAATGCAGGTAACATGCAGGTAACTGTGCTTCTTTATGTGCAGACCTGTCCTTCCTTACGTGCAGATGTATCTGCTTCATTCAGAGCTATTTCAAGTCATTTGCCTGCTTTTAGGGCTTGTGGAACACTCATCCCTTCTATATCATTCTTCTTAACTGTGCAGGCCCATATCCTGTCTCCTGTTTTATCATGGAATCCCAGACTGAGTTGGAAGGGACCTTAAAGCTCCTCCAGCTCCAACCCCTGCCACAGGCAGGAACCCCTTCCACTGGAGCAGCTTGCTCCAAGCCCCTGTGTCCAACCTGGCCTTGAACACTGCCAGGGATGGGGCAGCCACAGCTTCTCTGGGCACCCTGTGCCAGTGCCTCAGCACCATCACAGGGAAGAGCTTCTGCCTAAGAGCTCATCTCAGTCTCCCCTCTGTTATCTAGATGCATGTTTTACTAGGTGCATCGTTCCCTAGATAATAATCAATTTGTCTTGATGGTTTGGTTTTAATTCTTCCCATTCATTTTAAGGATGTTACCTGTGTAGTGAGAATTACTGTCTGGTGTATTTTAATGCAGGTTATATGTGTTTAAGTTTAAAAACCTCACCTTTATGAAGTATCCCACTTGAACTGTTTTCATGCTGTTCCTTCCTCTTGCTTCCTGGCCTTCAGGTCTGTAGCATGTCTAAATCCTATGGCATTGTAGACTTCTGTAAGAGGAGCTGGACTATATGACCTTTGAAGGTCCCTTCCAACCCGAACTATTCTATGACTGTATAATCCCGATCCTTTTGTACAGCCCTGCTGATGCTTGTGGTGCAACGTAAGCAAGCTGTAAATGAATAAAATTCTTGAAACAATAAAAATTGGAATGACTTTTGAAGACGTGAAGTTTATTTTGGAGAGAGATTTGCAATGATTGGGGAAAATCCTTCAGGAGCTTTGGAGATGTGATTATCCCACTAGTGCTCCGAAGGTTTTAACGTTCATTGTTGCAAGATGAAAGCTTTGGTAGGCTGAAAACAGTCATTTGTGGTCATAAATCCATAGTAGCTCCCACCCACTCTCCCAGCCGTGCACTCCAACCTCCGAACCGTTTCCTATCCGGAGTTCGTGGGAATTGCAAACAAGGGTAGCTGATGTCAGAGCAATGGGGAAGGCTTAAACAAAAAGCAGGGGGAAGGTTGGAGAGGTCGGAGGAACAAGTAGCAGTTGTATTGATTTCTTGTTCTTCCTATCAAAAGCTGAAGGCAGATATTAAAAGTCCTTGAATCCAGAACGCAGCGTGATTTCTGGCTTCTGTATTCTTTCCAAATGTGGGTTTTGACATGGGATTTTCTGGTAGTTCAGCTTAAACTTTGTGTTAGTTTGTTTAAGGTTTCTTAATATTGAAATCTGTGCTGTACTTTGGGTATTCAGAGTATCCCAGTTACCTGGAGTGAGACAGGGAAATTCTGAATGTAGTTAGTGGAAGGCCTGATGTTCATTAAAATCCATCAGAAGTTTCCTTGAAAACTAAGGTAAATCCATGAAACTCAGGTTGATTCAGTCACAGGGTTAAGGGATTGCGACAGCAGTGATTTGAAAAACAAAATGCGAATAATCCATGAGTTTGATGGGTTATTTCAGCCTAAGATTGTAGCGACTTGATCTTGAAGAGATTGAAGAATTGGATGTGTGTGTGGCTGTGTATGAAGTTATATATTCAAGCTCTGTAGAGCTGACCTGGAGTGAATGACAGTATAGTCATTATAGTATAAATAGCAGGGTTTAAATTGCTTCTTTGTCACAATTTATTTAGATGAACCTGCTGCTGGGGTTGGTCATCTTGTCTCCCCTTCCATCAAATCTTGGACTCTGAAAGAAGCAAGGGTGTCATTGAGGATTGGATGTGATGTGCCATGTCCTTGGCTCTTACTAGGATTGCTGCAAGCATCCAATTGTCTGCAGTGTTGTGTGTGTTCCTTGGCTCTACCATATTGCTTAGCTTCTTAAATCATCTTCTTTGAGGCAAATGCTATATGTGTGGTGCTTTTTTGCTTATTTTTTTTCTTTTAAACGCCGTGGTAACAACCTTAAACTTGAAGTGTTGATGTGGAGGAATAGGTAAACTATCATACGTTTCCATATTTTTGTAATGATCCAATGGTAGCATGTAACAGCTGAAGTTCCCATTTACAGACATTTACAGTTCAACTTGTATTAATATTGCTGGGTATTTCTACACATCCTGACAGCTCTTACGGAAACTGTTTGAGAAAGTGATCCTTAACCTTTTGATGCTGCTGCAATAGTGACTGTGACTTCTCCTCCAGGTGCGCAGATTATTGATCTAATGATGCTGGTGATCGATGTGACAAAAGGGATGCAGACGCAGTCAGCAGAGTGCTTGGTCATTGGGCAGATTGCGTGCCAGAAGATGGTGGTAGTTCTGAACAAAATAGATCTCCTTCCAGAGGGGAAGAGACAAAGTGCCATTGAGAAGATGACAAAGAAAATGCAGAAGACCTTGGAAAATACCAAGTAAGTTGGTGGTAATGTTAACAGTGTACTTGTGGGTCAAGTATTTTTGTTATACATTTTGTTGCATTTCCCTTCCACCATGCTTCTAAACACAATTATCCAGCAGAGGTGATGAGTGGGAAGATTACCAGAAACTCAAATGTAGCCCTGAATTTGCATCCACAAGTAGCATTTAAAAAGAAATAGTTTCCTATAATGAAGCTCTTCAGTTTAAAGGGTTGTTTGGAGTTCAGGTTGGCTAAAACTGGGGCAGAAGGTCCAGGTCCGGTTTGATTTTGGTTTTGTTGGGTTTTAGTTTATGGGCTTGCAGCTTTGTTGTGAATTGCAAGTTGCTTTCTCTCCAGAGATAAGGATGTGGTGGAGCTGTGCCTTAACTGAGGATGAGAAATGGGATTGCCCCAAGTAGGGAGAGCAGAATGCTGGAAGGTTATACCCTATATAACGTAGCTCTGGCTGGTATGGTGTTTGTCAGTTCTGTTCAGGTAAGTTAATTGAAATACATAATGAATGAAGGGCAGGGAGATTCCCAAGTGGAAGTGTTAGTGTTATGCAGTGAGAAGGTACCATACAGACACAGTATTTATTTGGTGGTTACACAAACTGGATCGCAGCTGGCTTTGCTGAGGGGTCGAAGCTGTTAGGTCACATTTTGATAGAAGAATCAAAGGAATAGGTTTTGGTGTACAGAAAAAGAGAGCTTCAGCAGGACAAGAAAGCAAAGATTAGTTGGATATGGCAGTTCCTGCTTTTTTATGACGGCATATTAAAGACTTGAGTAAAATTCATTGTAAGAGAAAAGCTAAACTGAGGCTCACTGAAGTACTGCTCTTCTCAGCACCTTTGAGACTTGTGTGTTTTGAGAACTTTGACTGCAGCAAATTCTGACCTTTCTGCTGTCCTTGCAGTTTGCCTGCAGCCTCAGGTACTCATCATGTGCCACCTTGCATTTGGCTCCTGTTGTGAAGGTTATGACTCCAGCTCAGGTTACGATTGTTTTAATGATAGTTGAAACAGCACTGGTCTTTCTCTCTTTCAGGTTCTGCGGATGCCCTATTGTTGCTGTTGCAGCAAAGCCCGGTGGACCAGAAGCCCCAGAGTCTGAGAATCCTCTGGGCGTTTCTGAATTAATCGAGGTACCTGCTCAAGAGCATCATAATAACACAAAACAGACTTGAACTTTGCTTTCCGTCCTTTGGAGTGCACTGTATTAGTATGTAGAGCTGAGAAACTCTTGCAGTAATGTCAGTTTAAGGAACCTGATACTTTAGGGAGTCCTTCCAGTGGATGGAAAACCATAGAATAGTTTGGGTTGGAAGGCACCTGCAAAACTCATCTAGTCCAAACCGCATGCAATGAGCAGGGTCATCTTCAACTAGATAGGTTGAGAAGTTGAGGTTGATGCCCCAAAAGGCTTCAGTGCTTTTGAAGAGCTGTTTCTTAAGACACAGCTATCACACATGTGCTGAAATTGGCTTTAAAGTTGTAAAGGATTGCAAAGCCTAATGAATAGAAAATAGCTTTAAAATTCTGCTAAATCCTTGGGAGGTGATTTATAATTGTACCACAGTTAAGAGAACAGTAAATCTGTGAAGTTGGGAGTGAAAAAGTTACACGCTGGGAGCTATTTCCTTCCTTTGGTGTGTATTATGACCCAGTGCTTAAGTGCATGGTACTTTATCCCAAACAACCCTTACCTCATTCATTACACAGGATGGCCAGAGCTCAGCTAGTGAGCAGGTAGCCCATAGCTGGTTTGAATGCTCATTATTCTGTGTGGATTCTTGTCTCCATTCAAATACTGCTCTGCATTCAAGAATGATTGATTTCCTCCTAGACTTTTCTTTGGCACACATCACTGTGGTCTTGAGCATTTGGCAAACAGTTGATTTACTTCCAAAAGACCTATAGGAAGCGTAGAGGTGACTTTAATCCCTATTTAGATTGGGAAGCTGAGGCACGAAGGAGGTAATCCACTGAGTTTACTCATTTGATTTGTTAAATTTAAGGAAAGCAGGAACCCTTTTGGGACATGTTTGTACCCAGATCATAGCACCTGCCAATTTTGATTACAATTGTGCAGGCTTAGCACGTCTCTTAAGCTTTGGGGTTTCTGTTTGGGCAGTCTGAGAGGTATAGTCAGTGATTACCTGTGGAAAGCTTAATAGTGTAAAGAGTGACAACATGTGGGAGTTCTGGCATAAGCAAGTGTAGACTCCATCCTCCTGCCTTCATGCTGAAACCATCTTTCTCTGTGATACTTTGCCTTGCTCACTGCATGCCTTGCACAGCTGCAAAAGATGGAAAGCAAGACTAGAACTGGCAAGAAGCAGGCTATCCACAGCATAGAGAGGTGGAGATAGGCAGGTCCTCAGTTCTGCCTCCATCTGATTCTGGGTACGTTTACAGGGATGTTAAAACCTTTGAAGGAAATGCCCATACTGCAGCTGTTTGTCAACTGAGACCTAGTATTAGAAGACCTGGCAAATGTGGTGTGAGCCGTGGCATTGAGCTTCAAGCTATCCTTTCTGTTCTTGATAAGAGACTCTCCATTGTTCTGCCATTACAAGCTGGGTTTAACCAGCAGTTTCTGATCTTAAAAGCAGACGTTTCAAGGCAGTGCCAAGCTTACATGCTGATGTTAGAGCAGAGATCAAAAGTGATTTGAGATGGGGGTGATCCAGTTCCTCTGAAACACTGCTGCGTACATGACTGTTTCCATAATTCAGCTCTGCTGTCTATGATGACAGGTTTTAAGAAGCAGCATTTGTCAGCAAAGCAGAAATCCTAAACTTGGAGAATGTCTCTAGAAAATGGTACTCGTGCGGCTGTGTTTCAGTGGTTTGGTCCTCCAAGAAGTGTTAACAGAAACCTGAAGGGGAAGTGGACTTTGAAAACTGAACCCAGTGTAATAGTTTGGCTGGGAGGGAGGCAGGGATGGGCTTTATGGGGCACTGGTATCTATACGTAAGTTAATTTTCACAAGAAGCTGAAGTAGCAAAACGCACTGTAAAATTGTACTTTTGAGAGAGGAAAGAAAAGGGGGGGAAACACGATGCACTGGATATTTTCTTTTTGCTTTGCTGCAGTGTTTGTATTGAGTTTGGCAGTAACTTTATTGCCGGTGCGGTTTTGCTAACAAAGCGAAATGTGCAGCACCAAATCTTTGTAAGGCAGAAAATCGAAGTGTTCCTGCTGCTAAGTGTGAGTCTCCTCTGTGGCACGCACTTAATTTGACATTGGTGCGTTCTAAGCTCATTGGGAGATGCCTGAAGTCAGTAAAACTGCAAGCTGGCTCCATCAATCATCCGCTTTGCCTGCCTCTTGCTCCGTGGCTGTCATGGCTTTTCACCCAGGCATGGTGCTGCTTTTATCTTCTTTTTTTCAGGTCCTGAAGTCTCAGGCTTACCTGCCATCAAGAGACCCCTCGGGACACTTCCTTATGGCAGTTGACCACTGCTTCTCTATCAAGGGTCAAGGCACGGTGATGACAGGGACTATTCTTTCTGGCTCCGTTAGCCTTGGTGACAATGTGGAGATTCCTGCCCTGAAGGTGAGTCTCTCATTTTCACTCCCCCCAGTTTTCTTGATAGAAAGAGCCACTCAACAAAGAAGAGAGTGTTCTCTTCTAGTCTGAAATTGTTCAATCATTTTCAATTTCTTTGTACTCTCCTATAAGCCAGTTTCTAATGGAAGAGACACAGAGATTCTTAAAGAAGGCAGCCAGGGAAGTTACCTGCTCAGTTTTAGTTGAATGAATGCTGACCTAGGTTAGCATGTTAGACTTTCAAATTCAAAAAGCAAGGTGGGCATGTTTCCAAGCTAGGATGTGCTCCAGGGCTGAACAAGGTTTGAGTTGAGGTTGCTTTCATTTGAGCCATGCTGCAGTGGGAAAGCTTACAAAAGGATTGGGATAGGGTGCGCACATCCTGTGATGTGTGGAAGTGAACGAAATGACAAGAGGGCACTGAAATGCTTGATGCACATTCTCTTTGTTTGGGGCTTCAGTTGGTGTCAGCATGTTCTGCTGGGCTGCAGCAGTGATTTGCTGCCATTGGGCTTTGTGGAGAGCCTGTTGAAAGGTTTTTCAATGGCCTTTGGACTGCTTAACTGTTGTTACTGTTTTATTTCCTTAAAAATCTATCTGTCCTTTAAAGGCAAACAAGGTGAATTTATGCTTGGAAGAGCTGAGGCCTGTTTCGCAGGTGCTGATTTGAGTGGCTCTGACTTTCCCCCCTTATTAATTGCCCCAAATGGGTCAAGAGCTGTGAAGCATTTTGCAGCTGCACTTCCAGGAGCCACATCCAGTTACATTCTGAGAGGAGGCAGCTTTTGGCTGACTAAGGCTGGGTGGGACCCTTCTGGGGACTGTCAGTGTTATCTTCAAGTCATGTTACTCTGAGTGCGTTCTTTCATTGAGTGAATGTGCTGCTTTCTCCTTTTTGCCCATACTTAGTGTGCAAATGAAGGACTCGGTGAGGCATTCTTATTCCACCTGAACTGTTTTGCTGATAACTTATGATTTTTTTGGTTGTCCTCTCCTGTGATAGCTGTGGCCATGTAGTTCATATCATATTGTCCTTTGTGTGAAACTGATTTGGGTGATGTGTATCCCATGTCTGCTTTCCCAGGGGAGTTCCTCACTGCCCATACTCTCATTTTGCAGCCTGCAGCCCATTCTGGAAGCCATGCTTCTAATTCCTGCAGGGAATATGCTTTGCTGGGGCTGTAGCTCTGGTTTCAACCTCTCAAGCTTTGCCCTTGCCAGCATTCCTTCCGTTTTCTGTTGTGACCTGCTTGCTGTCCTGGGCCTGCCTGCACAACAGGCTCAAGGAGGAAGGAGTAGGTAGGAGGACAAGGCTGGTGAGAGCTGGGTGATGATGGCTCCTGCCCAATGGGGCCTTGTGTGGCTCATTAGCTGCTTGCCTTTTGGCGTAGCATTGGCCAGAGTTCTGTGGATTTGTGCTCTGGAGGTGGGGGTGGGACAGAGCAGAGTCATTATTGCTTGCTTAAAGAATGCGTAACTAGATGGTATCTGGAAAAGGCTGTTCAGCTCTTCATGTGTAGTCCAAGAATGTTTTGGAGAAATGTGTTTAGGAATTAGTCTGCTTCTTAAGAATGTGTGTGAAGGGGGGAAAATGACAAATGTACAGTTAATAACTTGCATGTTTAAAAGAATGGTAGGGAAGATTTTAAGTGGGGCTTTAAAAGATGCTTCTTCCCAAGTGATGGGGAGAACAGTGAAGTAAAAGGCAGGCTAGCAGGTAAATGGGTCATTGACAAAGAGAAGCCACTTGGCTTTCATGGTATTAACAGCTTCCCTCAAAGTTGTAGTTATTTTCAGTTGCTGTTAATGAATTCATCCTTGCACTGCCTTGTATGAAACAGAAGATTTGCTTGGACCTCTGAGTGGTTGATAGAGACGGGCAGAGTTCTGTATTGTGGATTTTGCCATTGGCAGCTTGTGAATATCCATGTCCATGTTGTACGGGTCTGGAAACCCAGGCACAGGGAAGGGAAGCAGCTTTTGGAAGTGTGTGTGTTGTACTTAGCCCCACTAGCATTGTGTGGAGCTGGGCTAGGATACCTATAAGAGGTCAAACCTTTCTCAGGCCTACAAGGTAACAGAGGAAGCACATTTCACAACACGTTGTGGTTTATGACTCTCTCTGACCTTCTTTTGCCCTGACCCTATGGTAACTGAGATTGACAGCTGGTGCCCACTGGGCATTTAGGGACATTACAAACCAGCTGCTTTTTCCATTTGAAGAACCCTCTCCCCAAATGAAGTGGCATCACCTCCCAGTCCTCCTAATGGACTTCGACATCTTTGACCGCTTGAACCTGCACAAAGGAGGGACACAGCAATTAAAAATAAACAGTGACATTCTCAAACGCCCGAGCTCGCTCTGATTGAGGCTGAGAGCACCAGCAGTGCACGGATTCCTTTATGCTCTTGCCTATGTAAATTGCCATCTGGGGTTGATTATCCATATAGCGAAAAGAAAAATTATATATATGTGTTTGGCAAAAAGCTTTGACAGAGCAAACAGTTCGCTATCCAATTGAGTTAGTGCTCTTTGCTGCCTGGCACTTGAAATCCACCTTGAAGAGCATGAACCCAGGATTTCTGCAGCAAAAATGTTGTGTTGGCAGGATTCTGAATGTCCTTTAAGATTATTGCAGGGGTCTTTCAATCTCTACACTCTTCCAGTTTATAAACTGTAACAACTCCTGACATTTCTGTTTCTGCTTTATAGAAGTTCCTGGAGTTTGAATAATCAATATTTTTTTCAATATAGATTTATTTTATTTTATGGGTGGGTTTGGGGTAGTCACTTCAAAATATTTACTTTGTTTAGGGAATTTAACATATGTTTGTCAAATTCTAGTGCTGCTTTGTCTTTTTACAGCATGCTTTAACTGAGACAGGAAAGCATTGTTTTCAGTGGGGAAGAAGTGTCTTTCCCTACCCTATCCAGGTAAAAAAGAAATTACAGCTTAAGAACATCAACTACTTAGAAGGCCAAGAACCAGGAGTTTAGTTCTGAGCATTGACTGTCTCAGTCCTTGTGTCATGAGTAGTGCAGTATGTTGTGTGGTCTGTGGTCTTCTTTCTGCCCACTGTTAGTGATTCCAGTGTTGGATTGCAGTTTGCAAGCACACTAGAAATGCTAGAGGATTGGGTAAACCAGGCGATATGTTAATATTCCTTTAGAGGTGTTTTAGGGCGCAGAAAATGTGCCAGGTTGGTTAATAGGAATCATTCTCTGTCTAAAGAGTTGTGAAAGGTTGTAGAGGAGGTCAAGTCTGAGTGGAGTGAGGAGGCACAGATGTACACAGTAGTGGATATAAATCTGGTCACCCAGAAAGTGTTGACTCAGCATTGCCTTACGTGTGATCGAATGCTGTAGGTACGTGGCAGCCAAGTGCCCTGATCATTATTGGTTCTTTCTGGACTTGTAAGAAGTAGAAACTTTCTTCTTGCTTTATATTCAAGCTCCTATCTATTCAACCCAAAGGAGGAGATGAATATTTGTATTCTATCCGAACTTCAGCATCCCTGAGGTTTGCAGTAGGCAACTGCCATTATTATTAATGTGGAGCATTTAAATCTCAGAAGTTGCAAGTGTGTTTAAGAAATGCTGCTCCTCTGCTTGGAGAGTAGTTATCCAGATCCAGTAGCTGATACGCTTCCAGGAGGTCATCTGAGACATCAAATATGGAAAACGAGGGATACCTGCCCCTGTTTATCTCGTCAAGTCTCCTAGTAAATGAGTGTCAGTTTAAGCCAGTAGTGAATTCTGTCTTGGCAAGGGCCTATTTGCTGTCAGATTCTGTTGACTTTATGAACTTTTATAGAAGTCTCATTTTGTAAGTGTGGTACTGAGAAAGCATCCTGGCTTCATACACTTCCATGATACGAGAAGAGATTTCTTTTTTTAAAGCTTCTTTGTTGGCTAGATAACCTCGGTCTGTTTTTTTGGCAAGCATTCTGTACTTTTTATGGCTCATCCAACAAAAAGATCCTCCAGTGTCTCATAAATAACCCAAACAGTATTTACAAGACTATTTCCTTAAACCACCACAGCTATTAAAGTTGTAACAGAGAGATCTTCTTTTGCCCATGTGAGTCCTTCAGTCTATCCCAAGACCCTTGATGAGTGAGCTTTAGTATATATACTTGTAGTAATGTCAGCATCCTTAAGGACTTAGCAATCAGTTGCATGGTTAAGTCTTGACAGAGAACATTTAAATCTCAGAAAACAAAATTGGATCCAGTGCTGCTAAATTGGATCACGAAGACACTTAGAATCATAGAATAGTTAGGGTTGGAAGGGACCTTAAGATATCCAGCTCCAACCCCCCTGCCACGTGCAGGGGCACTTCTGTGTGGACTTCCATGATGAAATCTTAAGTCAGTTCTTACCACTGTGATTTAGAGTTCTTTGGCTCTCATAGTACACCCCCTCCAAATGCCAGGGTATCTTGACTGGGTTTTGCACTTTTTTTTTGGCTTATTAAGATGTTATTTTTCCAGTGCTGCTTGGATTTTTCTTGCCCAGTGCTGGTATAAAAGGTTTTCCAAACGCTCGGGTTCGTCTGCTGGCTTACAATGTGTGAGAATTTTCTGTTCATTGAAACGCGGTGGAAAAGGGCACTTCAGGAGATCAGGTTGGAGGGAGAATCAATGAGATGTAACGGATAAAACTGTGAAAAGGCATCTCGTAATATGTGTTAAAATGTGATAATATACAAGAATCTTAGATCCTGAATCAATAAATGACGCGTATACACATCATGTCGCATACACGGTTTAATTCAGTTGTAAGTATTAAACTGTTTCTTTAATTCTTTGCCACGTCTCAAGCAGGGCTTGTGTGTGTTGGAGATTTTCTCCTTTCCTAGAAAACATCAGTGAGAGTCTTACGAGTTTTGCATCTGCTGTGGCACTTAAAAGCAGGGCATGCAGGATTTGGCTGACACAGGCAAGCACTCTGCTTCCAACCTCCAGGATGTTATCAGTTGTTTTGGAAGAACTAAACTCCTCAG